CCCCCATCTGGGAAGGACTCTGTCTGTTCTTCTGTCATCAAACCCAGTCCGTACATCCCTGAATCCAGTGCCCGAGTCCAGCTCCTGCATCCTGTTCCTGTCTGCTGCCAAGTCCAGCCTGGGACTGCCCCAGTGCCAGCCCTGCAGTGTCAGTGGTGACGTGTCGTCATCAGGGTGGGGGGAGTTGGGTTCAGTATGGGTTTTGTATCTATTCGTACATATTGATTATATATTTCATTATTTCCTTATTCTTATTATTGTCTTTTCTTTTATTGTTATAGTTTCATTAAAGCTGTTTTAGTTTTCTTTTCCAAACCGTAAAGTCTCTCTCCCCTGTTCTCTCTCCTTTTTCCCTTTTGGGAGGGGAGAGGGGTTAATAGAGAGTGTCTGTCATTTGTTAGTGGCCGGCCCAGTCTCAACTCGTGACAGGGTTGAACTTCATGTTCACTGAAGGGAAACCCAAATCTTCTTAAAAAAAAATTCTGTGTGATCTTCTACAACAAGTTCAGACTAGAATACGAGCACCTCAATCTCAAATGATGTAACTGAAGATGGCAGGCTAAGATTCTCAGTCACTTTCAGGAGTAAATTCTTCTCATCACCAAAACCAGAAAACCATTAAGGTGCCTGTTCCAAAAGTCACTAAACTTAATACAAGATCATACACTTAACATGAATAAAGAAGACTAAATCAAGCTTTAAGGAGCTGAGTAATGGCATTTAGCTAAACAAACTGGTAAGGATATTAATAACTACTTCAGACACCTATCTATCCCAGTGGGGATTATTTTAACAAAACTGAAAATACAGGAGGCAAACCTGCAGCTGAGATAGGGCATCAATGGCTGACTTCTGTGTGGCAAAAGTTATTTTAAAGGCAACATGCAGGAAAATGCATCCAGATGCATTTGTCTAAGAAATAAGAAAAACATTTATGAAAATTAAACAAAGATTCACACAAAAATATTAAAAGCAAATGATTTTAAATGTAAATACTACCTGAGTAGTAATGACTGGGAAGGTAGTCTTCATACAGAAAAAATAAAGACTACACTGCTAAGACCTAGATTTCTAATATTCCGTTCATCTTGAAAGCAAACATACAATTCTTCAAATTAAGATTTATCATGAAACTCAGAACATAATTTGTCTTAATGCCTTGTATGTAAAAGCTTTCCTATGCCAGAACCACATTTTACAGGCAAGATATCAAAGGGGAAAAAAACCCACCACCCAGCAAAAACAAAAACCACACCAGCATTAGCTTAGTGTTTGACTTCTTGTACCTCAATCCTAAACATTAAAGCTCTGATCTAAAGCTGGTTGTAGCCAAAAGCAGATTTTCTGTTGCCTTCACTAGTTTTCAGGCATGCTTATTTAACTGAAGACAATTGTCACTGCAAAAGTGATGAGAGTTAGCAGTAGAAACATAAGTTCATTTCATTTTCTCATATAAATAAACATGAACATTAGCTTCCATTGAAAGACTGACTTCCAGCATATCTGTTCTTCTTGGTCTTAGTGTAACAATTAAGAAAACCTAATCTTGGCAGACAGACAGAAACCAAACCTGAAATATGTAACATTCAGCATTACACAGTGTATTATGTGCCATCCAATCCTGACCAACTTTTTTTCATGATACATCAGAGTATTTGAAGAAGGACTAAGTCCTTCCAGCCCTCCCTGTTCTAACATTTGCCAAAGTCATCACCAAAAGTATATGCTTGCCACAATCCAATAGTAGTGAAATGAATCCCACTTTCTTGGTTAGGGACAATAAAGAAAATAAACTGAACAGACATTGTCCCTTTGTAAAGGGACATCTGAGCCTCCAGAGGCAAAACCTTCTGTGAACTTTAATACCTAAAGATTATTCTGTTCTTGCCTTAAAGCACTTGCTTTTCCAGCAAATATACATAGTTTAAAATTGCTATGCCAAGTATACCAACACGAACCAACAAGCTGTATTTAATCAAGGTGTTAGTGGGATACTAAGAATAAGAACAAAACTCTCAATTCGTCACCAGCAACTAGCTGCATACTTAACTAGCCCAACATGCAGTTCAGTCTCAGAGATAATGACATGTGTATTGAGGGATAACGGGGAGGTGTTTTTGACAGAAAGAAAGAAAAAGTACAAAGCCATTTGGACATTTTCTTAGCTTTTTATTATTACTCCTAACTAGAAGGTTACCACAGGTTTGGGGTTTTTTTCCTTTTCACATCACTTGTAAATAAAACATTTCAGCATGTAGCTCTTTACAAAGAAAACGGCAAGATGAAGAATTCTCCCCCCCCACCCACCTCCGCAGTCCTCTGGAATCTGTTGCATGAGCAAGTGTAAACCTTTGATTTCTTCAAAACTATGCAAGTTACAGGCAGACTAATGGCATTCTGCTATATTTCATCTAAATACAAACTCAAAGAACATCCTCAGAACTTTATTTAACCAAAATCACTGGACCAAATAAATTTTTTTGGGCTCCATGTTTTCCTTAAGACCAAAAGAAAACATAACATGTACAATTCTGTCTCAACGTGACGTCTTGAAGATGCCAACTCACAATGCTGGTCTCGGAGAAAAAGGAATAGCCCGATGAAAACAGACCACGTCACAGACGTTCCTCTACACAACTAGAAATGTATGTGGCAAACTTCCTCACAGAAAACTATTCCACAAAACTGAAGCTCAGATCGCAGGCATCACATACCAAGGAAGAAATGTTCCACTAATGTTCATTTTTACTTGACTTACAAAAAGTCTCTACTGCTTAGCCTTCTTTCTAAAGGTGTCCCCTCTAAAACTCATTTCATTGACTGCCATCAGACTCTGAGGTCAGGTTTTAGCATGCCTTCATCCAAGAGTATTCAAATTAATTGTTTTGAATATCTTTGGTACAGCTGACTATGCACAAACTTGGCTAGTTGTTGTGACTGCCTCCCACAGTCTCTGGAATAACCATCTACTTGGACTGTTCAGCTTTTTTACTTTCTGCATTCCTGGTCTTGATTTTCAACTTAAGACTATCCTCAGCATGACTTAGATTATATTATAAAGCTCACATTCAGATCAACTTCAGTAAACATGAACAACTTGAGTTCAAACATTCAGGAAGTCATAAAATTCGGTATGCAAGAATCCTTTCAAGGCTCTCAAAACTAGGTTACAATAAGGTATTATGAAATGGTTTTAGAACAGCTCATAAAAAACTCATTTTCTGGTTTGCTGTCGATGGGGTCATATTAGTGTCATCAGTAAATACATGTATTTGCCTTTTATTTTCTGTCTTACAGAAACAGATAAATCTCATTTAATCATCAGCAATGAGGAATCTGGAAAATCATATGGCTTTCCAACAAATTTAAATTAAAGACATTCTCGTTGCCATAATCCACCCACCATCCCTTCTGAAAACCTTGTTTGAGCTCAAGGGTTTTACTGATTTAAAATAACCTGCAGAAACACCATGGAAAGGCAAGTGAGCCAGAGCACATTAACAGGGTATTCAGCAAACATTTGTAAGAAAAGCACATTATGTTGCTTTGTTTTCAGCTGAGAACAAAGAAGATTAAACCAGTTGCTCTGAGTACAAAACCAAAGAAGAGAGGTGAACGAATTGTCCACACCTCCCTTCTGGGAAAAGATATTTTGGGCACACCCCTGACTAAAAAAAAAAAAGAAAAAAAAAAAAGAAAAAGAAAGGGGAAGGGGGAAAACAAAGGCACAGACTTGAGTTGACAATCATCTCAGAATATTTTGCCACTCACTGTATTTATATCGAGTTTGGGTTTAATGAGATGGCTTTTAGCATTCTCTCACTCATTGTTCCAGTGTATACAACCTATTTATAGCTCTGCTAAGACTGTATCAATACTATGCTGTCTTTGTAAGCCGCTCAGCAATGTTAATGCTAGAGGTCTTTTTCAAATAAACATTTATTTTGTAATAAATGCAGATAGTGCTTTAAGCCAGATGTCAAAGATCAGCTTTTTTTTGTACAGTCGCACACAACATAAAAAGGACTGTCATACTTCCACCTCTAACTATTAAGAAGGTGAAAAAGTAGGGAATGAGTCCCCTTCTCAGTGTGAAACAGGACTAAATATGCATTCAATAGAAACTGTTTGTCTGGGGGGTGGGCAGAAGAAAAAAAAAAAAAGGAAAGGAATTCTGCTCAAAAAACTACAGGAGAAAAAGATTATGAAGACAGAACAGAAGCATTGAAAAGCAGGTGTTTATAACAAGTTAGAAATGTTGTTATTGTGAGTATTTTTCAGTTAGTGTCATCTCCTCAACTGGTAAACTCAGATTTTTGCTACAGACAAACACAGCTATGACAGGAATTAGGATGGGGTTGAGGATCTAGTTACAAGATCTAGTGTGTAAACTACTGTTGCTGCCTAATACATATAAAAAGTTTAGAAGAGCCCTGAAACTCAATACGCCTTCATCTGCCTACTGCACCAGGTTTTCATTTTGCTAAAGATCTCACAGTTACACATTGCATTACAAAGCTGCTAAAATTTAAAAATGTCACTTATACAATTGCCAAACCCTAGCACAAGTGTCACAGCAGGAAATGTTTTATATTACAGCTGGAGGAAGCTATGAGCTGACACCTGTTGATTAGCATAAATCACTATCTCAGAAACTTAGATTTCTATCCAAATTATTTTGATTATTTTAATTATTTTTATTTTGACAATTTAAATATTTTTTCACAATGTTGTTTTATATTTTTGTGTTTTGCTTGAATTGATATTTTTCATACTTCATTGATTAGAAACTATCATTTGCTATTTCTTTATAGTTTTAAAGAAGTCAATCCTCCTCTGGCCAAAAAGTATACTTTAAAAGCATCAATAAGTACAAAATCTCACTACAGTATCTTTAAGCTAGGAAGGAGAAAAAAAAAAAAAAAAAAGATTTGTTACAGTAAAAACTTAATTCTGAGAACACTTTGCTAGGTGTGATGAAGTCACTCTAGACTACTCACTTCCCACATGAGCCTGCAGTCTGTACTCTCATCCAGTTCCTGTGGCATTCGCTTCTCCCCTGCAAAGGGACCAAATTTTTCACCCTAAGGAATAATTATAAAAGAAAAAAAGGCAAGTGAATTACCAAACTCCAGCAGAGGTATCATTTTTAGCTTCAAATGGAAAAGGATAGTATTCCTTTGTCATCCTACAATATGCCAAGAAAGTGCACATCCTTGAGGGTTCAACTTCAAGATCGTTCTCATTCTTTCCAGAGCTTGGAGAATCTCTTAAAACCAAACCTTTCCTCTACATGCTTATTTCCCCTTTGGGAAACAGGATTTTTCTTTATTTTAAATAAGGCTGAAATTTACAAGTCAAATTTCTTACATTTCTTATAAGGTTTTCAGGGAGTACCTTGCAATAGACATCCAACGAAAACATAAAGTATTTGGCAAGCACGAAGTTTACGTTAGATTTATTTGCAAGATTATTTGTAACACTACTTTTTGAAGTGCCACAAATCAAAACACTAAATAACTGAGATTTTGATCATACAGAGAGATTCCTTTAAAAACATAGGGAGCATGCACGTGTCTATGAATTAATTCAAGCTTTCATAAACAAAACTAAAATGTTATAGCACCTGCTAGTCATAACACATGCTGTGAAAGCATCCATTGATATGTTCTTCCAAAAGTATTGGGTGTAGGTGGCTTTTTCCTTCACAGACGTCACACTAGCAGCAGGGTAAATTATTTAAACATGACTTTCTTCTTACACAGGCCTATCTTTCCCCACACCCCCTGCCTTGTCCTTTATTTGCAGTGACAAGCCCTACAACCCAGGATGCAGAAGGCTATGTTCCTTGCATTCCTTTAGGCAGTATTCAGATTGAAAAGCTCTATATACTTTAAACCATTGGAGATTATAACTACATAACGAAACACAACTTTGGTGTTTCTTTAAAAGTAACAGTATTTTGGCTATAAAAGTATCTATCTTGTCCATACGTCCCTTCCCTCAGGCACATTCCATGATCACAGCCTGCTACATGTTTTCCCTCTTGTGTAGTTTTTACTGACTGCCTACAGGTAGAGCACGGAGGGAGAAGTGGAATGGAAAACTTCCAGGATCACTCCTCTTCAAAATAACCAACCAAACAAAAAAATCCTTGTATTTAAAATTAGACCTGAAGAGTCTAATTTTAAGAGAAAATTGGCATTGCCTAACAAGGCAACAAAATTGAGGAGCGATACTTTAAAACGTGCACAACAAAGATTTTATTAGAAAGAACAGCAAAGCAGAAAGTAAAAAGACAAGAACAGCAGAAAACTGGAGCCCAGAGCAGTAATCAAGACACAAACATGGGCAATGATAGCAAAAACTGGAATTACGGGGCTTCACCTGCTTCTCCATACCACCCTTCAATGTTTTGCTAATCAAATGAGGTCAGGGTTCCTCCGCTGCCAGCTTTACAAATCCTGGGATTTAATACTCAAACTGAGACATCCTTCTTCTTTTACCTCATCAGCAATGAAGGTGAAAATAGGTCAATGCCGTTCTATGGGTACAGTCATGCACATTCTCAGCTCATGCTCAACGCCACCCCAACAAACACGCTGCTGTCCAACAGGGGCCACGCAGGCGTTACGTGGGAGGAGGCCATTTGCTGCGATTGCGTTGTTGGCTTAGACTAAGGAGAAGGAAGAGCCAAGATGGTGGCAGAGAAAATCTGCTCTGGAAATGTATGGCCCTGTCAGTAAAGATAAGGTAGGCGCTCTCTAGAGCGGACACCTCTTGCCAAGCTGAACTGGCTTTCCCCGTTCACTTAGAAAACTGCTTGTTTTGCACAAGTTTTGGTACAAGAAGGAAAGCAGCTCGCTACAATTGCTGAGCTCTAAGAGAGGGCGTAACTATATCTGCAGAATCTCTCATTACTCGTATCAATTATCAAGATGAAAAGAAACTATTGGATTATAATCTAGATTAGTTCTACAGAAAGAAACAGAAAAAAACCCTCCATAAATTTAATACAGAAAATATTTGAAGATGTTATGAATGAGGAAACTGAAAAAGTTAGTCTCCCGCACTCACTTCAGCAGCAGACTAACACTTTCTAAGACGGCATAAAGAGATTAATTTCTTCCTTAAGTACTTTGGAGGCTTCCACAACCCTCACCTCAGTAATACTTTCATCCTTGCAAACCAAAGGATCCCTAGATACCTCATAAAGCACTTACAGTGTTAATTTTACCTGTCACTGAAGCACACATCACCTCTGGGACAAAGCACAGCAACAGCTTAATACTGCGTACTGACTCAAAACAAGAAACACCATACATCATTCCTACCTCAGCTACTCCAAAGCAATAAACCTCTCCTGCAATATGTTTAAGTCCTTCCAGAAGTTCAAAACAACAGCAAAAGCAAAAGGCAGGATGCCCACCTCTAAATACAAAGTGAATGTAACACAAACAGTAGGTGATTCAGACTTCTAAGCACTTTTTATAGCTTCTCAAATTTGGAGAGAAAGCAGAAATTAGAGACAGCAAAATCTGATGTTTTGGAACACAAAGGTCCATGGGGATAAGTGTCACTATTCATTTAGCCTTTCAGAGCATTTTCTGCATATATATATATATATTTTTATTGGTTAATAAACATGCTGTCATATGCCAATATATATTGACCAAAAACATACTAAGACTTCAACTTTCTCTCTGATCAATAAAAGTGAGGCACACAATACAGTCTAAAGTCAACCACAGAAATTATTCAAGATACAAAAGGCACATCATTCAAATGTTCCAACGGTTTCAAGAAAGCAGCAGTGGCTAATCTTCTTCCAGTTGCAGCAAAACACTGAGAAATGTAGTGGCTCTCTGATGATCATACCAGGAGCTTTATGATACTGGTGCTGTAACCAAAGGCCAGCTATTGGGGAAAAATAAAAAAGGAAATTACAAGAGAACAAGAGAATCACAGCTTTTGTTAAAGTAAAAAAAAAAAAAAAAAGTTACCAACTTTTATGATTACAGATAAAAACTTGAAAGCACAGCATAATGCCTGAAGGCACAAAAGCAGGCGGCAGACAACAGCAGTTCAACACACATCATTACCAAAACTTTGCTAAGAGCAGAATTTTCAGAGGCCCACTTCATGATTACTTAGCACTTGGGGAGTGGGTACTGTGATTTCTGATTATAAGATCATCTGAAATGTGTTTTACTTTCAGTGAAGACAACTGAAGTTGTGTGATAGCAATAGAAAGAAAATGGTACAGTGTTTCTAACTCAGCAACAGAGATCTTACTTCACAATTAAGTGTCATACTCAACACCTCACAAACCCAAAGCTCCAAGGAATTAATCTAAGAGCTAATAGCTACTCTGTATGACAGCCATGAAGTGTAGTACTGCTGCCTCATCACTGGACAGGACAACATGTTGAGAACACTTCAGATGTGATTTTTCTTTCCATGGAGAATAGTAACACACAGTCTGGCTACACCTAACATACCATTTGTGTTATTTACGCGTCCACCCTTCTCTGGACAGCCCTGGTATCAGTCTCCAAACATTTTTAGGAATACCTGTTTCAACCACTGCCCACAGAGCAACTCAAGAGCTGGTTCCTCAGCCTATCAAAGAGCAGCCTGCCTGTCAGACACATTCTTCTGGTCAGGACTTTGCATACCACAATCTCCTGTGCTAGCAGATTCACCGCCAAACAGTGGGCAAGCCTGTAACAAGCACTGTCACCAGCCACTAATACAAATAGATCTGACTACAACTGCCTCTGCCTTTACCTTCTGCATCCCACACACAATGCATGTCACACTTGCACACTCCAGTTTTGCCAGGGTGTCCTGTATGACACTCTCACACTGGCAGAGCTGCACAGGCAGAGATCCGACAGCGTATGCTTTGTCTGTATAAAGTTCCAAAGCAATGCAGAGTAACTCAGGCAAGAAAAATGCTCTGTTTTTTCTAGCATGCAGCTGTAATGGTTCAACTGACAGCAGCGTAAAGGAAGGGGGCTCAGGCCCTGAACTGACATTCAGCATTTATATTGACATGCAGATGATGATTTCCATGAGCTTCACTTTAGAGCTTGCTCAGTTTCAGAGCCAAGGGATTAATATATACTGGTAGCCCACAACTTTCCTTGTTTGAACTCTCAAAATTTTCAAATGAAAGCTCAGAACCTCAGTGGAAAAAAAATTAAGCCAAGTGATATAAAATTCTTCCCCTTCCACTCCCTTTAACACTCAGGAACACCTAAATAACTACAGGCCCCTACCCTGTGGTGTCCAAGCCTTGATGAAACCACTGAAAAATTAG